AAATTCACTTAACAACTGTGGCAAGAAAGGTTGTAATATAGGGCAAAATTCACTTAACAAATGCCTCACTTAACAACATAAATTTTGGGCTCAATTGTGGTCATAAGTCAAGAACTTCCTGTACTGCTGTTGTACTTACCCATAGCAAAGCCATCATCAGTAAAAGCTGCACCAACTTTGTTCTTTTTGTTCAGTTTCTCTTTGCAACTGATTGAGTGTTCTATAAAATTGAGTGCCTAAAAAGAAAAGACCAGGAATTGCATGAGGTTGCCCAAATAATTACCCCAATTTAGTAATTCCAAAATAATAAAATCAAACAAGGAATTTAAAGAATGCTACCCTGGTTATACCACTTGTACATATTATTTCTGATGGCATCTCAGAGATACCTACGTCCTGATAATAAGGCCATGCCATATTTTTCCTGTGGGCAGAAATATACGCCCTCCCCCGATAATAAGCCCCCTGGACAACCCCCCCCCACCTCCAGCCAGGCAGAGCACCAATCACCAACCTAGCGATATCCCAAAGGCACCAAGCCGTAGGAGCCGGGGGGGGGCAAAGGCACTTACATTGCTTGCCACCTTCGGGATACAGCTAGGTTGGTGAGTAGTGCTGTGCCCGGCAACCCCCCTTTCCAGTCGGGCAGAACGCCACTCACTGACCCAGTAATATCCCAAAGGCGCTAAGCCACGTGGCACTCAGTCCGGCTGGAAAGGGAGGTTGCATGAGCGCCTGTTCCACCCCCTTATCATGTGCCTCCCAGCCTCACCATGCCCTGGCCTAGCTCTCCCTGCAGGGCCAGGGCGCCGGCACCGCCACAGCTCTCCGAGCATAACCGGCTTCCAAACCCGGAGATCCGCTGCTGAGTCTTCCGGCAGCAGCCGCTCTGGGACTATGCTCTATGGTTGTGGGCCGGCTGCCAAAAGACTCTCTGTTTCAACAGCCAGCCCACAACCATAGAGTGTAGTCCCAAAGCATCTGCTGTTGGAAGCCTTGGCAGCGGATCTCCAGAGTTTGGAAGCTGGTTATGCTCAGAGTGCACCGGGGCCCTGGCTCTGCAGGAAAAGCTGGGCCAGGGCATGGTGAGGCTGGGAAGCACGCAAGCTGGGGCGGAACAGGCGCTCACGCAACCTCTCTTTCCAGCCAGGCAGACCACACGGCTCAGCACCTTTGGGATATTACTGGGTCGGTGAGTGGCGCTCTGCCCGGCTAGAAAGGAGGGCTGCTCGTGAGCGTGGTCACCTCATGGCTGCTGTGTTTCTCTGCTGCAACAGCGCAACACAGCTGTTTGCCCCTGAGGCTGTGCCCGGCTCTTTGGGTGCCCACCCAGCAACCCCAAACCAATACGCCCCCCCCCCCGATAAGCCCCAAGCAACAGAGGCTGAAAATCTGGGTGCGTCTTATACATCGAATGCAGCATTTTTTGCCTCCCGAAGCACCGCCCCTTCACCAAAATGGCCGTGCATAGCCTTATGGAGGCTTTCAGAGAGCTCCTGGGGGCTGGGAGAGCAAAAATGAGTAAAGAACGGGCCGCTTTTTGCCCCTCCAGCCCCCAGCAGCAGTCTATAAGCCCCCATAAGGCTATGCATGCAAAAAATTTTGACAAAAAATGGGCCGTTTTTGCTCATTTGGGAGGGAGCACTCTGCAGCCCCCCCCCAAAGCTATTCATGCCTCCTTTTTTTGAAAAAAAAACAGGCCTGTTTTTGGGAGGTTTGCAGAGTGCAAAAACTCCCCCTCCCCTTTTGGAAAGCTCTTTAACTGNGTATGGAAGGACTGGGAAATATAAAATCTCCCACAGAACTTTGTCAAAGGATCTAGCAATTGGATGGTGGTGAAAGTCAAATAGTTGAGAGTATTATATTCATTATTTCGAGCTTCTGGAGGAAAGGTAGCCTATAAAACTAATGAAGAATAAAAAATATCAATAACTTGTATCCTGAGACTCAGCCTCAGTGAATTTGGAATTTTGCCAATGAGAAAATAAATGAATGACCCTGTAATAGAAACATAAGAATATCTGAAGCACTATCAGATGCTGATATCAGATCAATATCTTTTTTGGTTCAACATCACATTCTCCTTTGTCACTAAACTGTTGCCTTTTGAGAAGCAACAAGACAAAAATAACTCTCTCCACCAGATGTCCCTGAACTGGTTCCCACAGAGTTTTGTAATGCATAGCTATGAATGGAGTTCAACATTTTATTTTATTGAAAGTTGTTTGAAAAACAGCAGTGCAAGTAATAATGAAATATTTTTTTTATACTTGCATTATAATTACCTAGCTGCTTGTTGTGTTTCTTCTGACAGATCTTCCTCTTTCACAAGTTCTTCAAAGTTGACAATGTCTTCAAGGTCAGGAACAAATCTACAAGTTTTGTTAGGTTTTCATATAATTAGACATTTTAATATATAGATGTATGTATATAAATGAACATACATTTTCTATTTTACATGCTGTATTTCTATTCCCACCTTATCACAAGCTAGTTCATATTTTATTAGCAAGTAACATTGCTTTGCTCTCAAATAAGTATTTTTGTAGCTTATTCCACATCAGCAAGAAGGCATACTTCTAGCCACCACATTTTCCAAGTTTTCAGGTATCAAGTCGCAAAGTGTTATGACATCTGACAACAAAATTTCTATATTTACCATCATTCAACGCTCTTTCGCATCTTGTGCTCTTTGTATTATTTACACTTTTATACTGACACCCAAACTTGCTATCATGTTACTATAATTTTTACAATTTTTACAAGTATGAACTGTCAAATTATTGAAAATTTAATAGGTAAAGGTAAAGACTCCCCTTGCACATATGTGCTAGTCATTCCCGACTCTAGGGGGCAGTGCTCATCTCCATTTCAAAGCTGAAGAGCCAGCGCTGTCCGATGACGTCTCCGTGGTCA